CATAAAACTAAAAAGCTTCTGTTCATCAAAAGAAATGGTCTCTAAACTGAAGAGAACACCCACAGAGTGGGAGAAAATATTTGCCAGCTACACATCAGACAAAGGACTGATAACCAGAATATATAGGGAACTTAAAAAACTAAATTCTCCCAAAACTAATGAACCAATAAAGAAATGGGCAAGTGAACTAAACAGAACTTTCTCAAAAGAAGAAATTCAAATGGCCAAAAAACACATGAAAAAATGCTCACCATCTCTAGCAATAAAGGAAATGCAAATTAAAACCACACTAAGATTCCACCTCACCCCTGTTAGAATAGCCATCATTAGCAACACCACTAACAACAGGTGTTGGCGAGGATGTGGGGAAAAAGGAACCCTCTTACACTGTTGGTGGGAATGTAGACTAGTACAACCACTCTGGAAAAAAATTTGGAGGCTACTTAAAAAGCTAGACATTGATCTACCATTTGATCCAGCAATACCACTCTTGGGGATATACCCAAAAGACTGTGACACAGGTTACTCCAGAGGCACCTGCACACCCATGTTTATTGCGGCACTATTCACAATAGCCAAGTTATGGAAACAGCCAAGATGCCCCACTACTGATGAACGGATCAAGAAAATGTGGTATCTATACACAATGGAATTTTATGCAGCCATGAAGAAGAACGAAATGTTATCATTCGCTGGTAAATGGATGGAATTAGAGAACATCATTCTGAGTGATGATTGGACTTTGAGCACATGATAAAAGCGAGAGCACACAAGGGAGGGGTGAGGATAGGTAAGACACCTAAAAAACTAGCTAGCATTTGTTGCCCTCAACGCAGAGAAACTAAAGCAGATACCTTAAAAGCAACTGAGGCCAACAGGAAAAGGAGACCAGGAACTAGAGAAAAGGTTAGATCAAAAAGAACTAACCTAGACGGTAACACACAAGCACAGGAAATTAATGTGAGTCAACTCCCTGTATAGCTATCCTTATCTCACCTAGCAAAAATCCTTGTTCCTTCCTCTTATTGCTTATACTCTCTCTTCAACAAAATTAGAGATAAGGGCAAAATAGTTTCTGCCGGGTTGAGGGGGTGGGGGGAGAGAGAGGGGGCGGAGTGGTGGTAAAGGAGGGGGTGGGAGCAGGGGGGAGAAATGACCCAAGCATTGTATGCACATATGAATAACAAAACAATAAAAATTTAAAAAATAAACCATCCCACCAAAGTTAAAAAAAAGAAGTTAGGTGCTAACAGCACACTCATCCCAAACGTGGTTCTCAGAGCAGGAGGACCATGAGTTTGAGACTAGCATGGGGTACATAGCAAGTTTAAGGCCATTCCAAACTGCAGAGTGAGATTTGTCTCCAAAAACAAAGGGCTGAAGGGGAGATCAATGAAACAAGGACTTATCAGATTTCCCCAAATGGGAGACCATAGCAGTTTCAGTAGCATGGGGAAGGTAGAAGCCAGGTGGTGGTAGGTGCAGGAAGAAACAGGACAAGAAATAGAGAGCACTCATCTGAAAAACTTGTGGGAATACAGACAGAAGTGAGAGAGCTCTGACTCTCTGTTTTTCTCTGTGAATTCTCTGTTTTCTCTGTGAATGAGGAGGAGACAGATCATCTACTGAAACTGAAGGAACCCACATGAAAGAAAGTCAGAGGTGAATTTAAAAGATAGTGTTAGAAAGCCAACCTTGAGAAGAGAAAGACAGCTTCATTTCTACCTCATCCTGACCTCTGGACTTGTCCTTTAAGGAAAACCTCTCTGCTCAAGAGACTCAAGTTTGACCTGGAGTTAACTGAAGTACAGAGAAATGAACTCTTCTACCTGAGGCCACAGCATGGTTCTTTAGAATTCAGAACTAATTCTGCAAGGGGATCCTCTCCAGCTGTGGCTCTTGTTTTTCAGCCTCAGACTTCAGTTTCCTTTAGTATCCAGGTCAGGCCAGCCAGTGGAGTGTTTTCAGTTTCTAGAGTTGATTTACTTCAGTACTTGCATGAAATACTAATGAGCTCAGATTTGGACCCCACTCCATTGTACAGAGTATTAGAGGCAGGGAGGGCTATTTGGCATAGTACTACTGTCCTTCAGATAGATAAATAGATACTAAACTCTTGTGTCTTATGATTGATGTTAGTAGCTATTCAGAGAAAAGTTAAAGTTCCACACAGAGTAATGAGGAACCTTGTGTTCCAGCCAACAACCACCTTTCTCAGCATAACAAATAGGATCTCTTGTTGGCAGCTTTCCGAGTTGTTGCTGAAAACACAAAGGTGGCTCTGTCTTTGCCTATGGTAAATAGGCAGCAAGCATTTAATTCTTTAGTAGATAAATCACACTGAGAAGCCTCAGGACATTATGTGTCCGGCCCTGGTTGTAGATTGGTTTTTTAACCTCAATTTATTAATTTCTCCTTTCTTAACTAACTTGATCCTCAAGACACAAATATATATATATATTTAACAATGGCAGTTTTTGAAAAGTAATTAGAGAAATGAGTTGTTCAACAATGCTTAGTGAAAAATCTCTCCAACTTTTGCTCTAAGTTCCCATAAAGATGCCACCTGTAAGATAATGAATTAAGTGTGATAGTTTAATGGCTATTGCTATGGTTTGACTATGGTTTATCCCCTCTAAAACTCATGTTGAAATCTGATTGCCATTGTGGTGGTGGGAGGTAGACATTTAGGAGGTAATTAGGTTGTTAAGAAGGATTATTGCCTCTCTCTTTGGAGTGAGTTCTCTTGCCCACTGGCCTGGACTAGTTACAGTGAGGTTGGGTTTTTAGAAGCAAGGTTGACCCTGAAATCCCACTTGCCCTCTTTTTTATTTGCCTGGTTCATCTTCCATCTTTCTGCCATGACCTCACACAGCATGCATCCCTCACCAGATGTGGCCATCTGATCTTGGACTTTATAAACTCCAGACAAACTTCTTTTTTTATAAAATACCTAGGGATTGGGTGTAGTTCAATAGTAGAGTACTTGCCTATGTGTGAAAAAAAAAAAGGAATTTCTCAGAGAGGTATATCCCAATGCAGAACTGCTGTAGGAAAATGTAATGATCAGAAGTCATTTTGGTACTGAGCACCTATGTGTCAGGAGCCATATTATTTCTAATGCAATAGCCAGGTGTCTATTGTCATCACCATTTTTTAAATGAAAAAAGTAAGTTGAACATGGTGGTACATACCTATAATCCCAGAAGCTGTGAACCTAAGACCAGAGGATCCTTTGTACAAGGCCAGCCTGGGTTACACAGTGAGTTCCTGGTCATGTGGACTGCAAACCAAAACCCTCTATCAAAGGTAAAACAGAGAGGGAGGGAGGGAGAGAGAGAAAGAAAGAGAAAGACGGACAGGCAGACAAAGAGAAGGGAGGCCCAGCATGCTAAGTAATGTGCTCAAGGTCAAACAATCAAAAAATGACCCTCATTCCTTGACTGGAGGCTACATGACTCCAATATCTGCCTCCATCTTCACATTGCCTTCTCTCACTCTACTTCTGTCATCTCATCATCTCCTCTGCCAAATCTTACTCTACTGCTTCCCTCTTCTAAAGACCCTTATGATTATACTGAACCATCTTAATAATCCAGGAAAATCTCTCCATCTCAAGATTGTTAGTCATTTCTTCCAAGTTCCCTTCACCAAGTGAGGTAACATAATCATAGTCTCTGAGGACATCAACATCTTTGAAGGATGTTTATTCAGTCATTCTTACCATAAATTGTGTTTTCTATTTGTTGAAAATAAATTTGGGTCAGGTGCTGGTAGCTCATCCTGTAATCCTAACTACTCAGGAGGGAGAGACCAGGAGGATCGAGGTTCAAAGCTAGCCAGGCAAATAGTTCAAGAAACACTATCCTGAAAATAACCAATACAAAAAAGGCCTGGCACAGGGGCTGAAGCAGTAGAATTCCCACCTAGCAAGAGTGAGGCCCTGAGTTCAAACCCCAATACCACAAAAAAAAATCAATTTGGCCTATTTGTGTAGTCTACATCTGAGTATTCTGCTCTGATCTATTGATCTATATATCTATTATCAATCTCACGCTATTACTGTGAGACTCTTATGAGGATTATGTTTGCTGTTCATTAAATATATTAACAAGTATATAAAAATGTAATATATTGTAAAACCCATAGGAAAACAATATTGTGTGCACTTGTAAGCCCTACAAATATCACTTGGCAACCAATATGAAAATCAGCTAACCCACAGCTGGTGCCAATATGCAGATCAGCTAACCCTAAACTGGTGCTGATAAACCAGTCCGCTAGGAATACTTAAACTCCACTCGCCAGGACACCATCGGCACTTCCTCCTGACAAGGCAACACGCATCATGCTGGTTGAGAGCAGCCCAGGACGAGGTGAACCAGACACTCCACACAGCCCGTCAGATGCCCTGGGCGTCCTGGAGGCATATCGAGACTGAGAACTAGCCAGGACCAGCGGACTAAGATTCACGTTGCAAGGTGAGCACTAATTCATTTAGCGCCTGACTGACGGTCAACTTTGCACTGTCGCCTGCTTGCGACAGACTTGATATTCAACAGATTTCCCCTCTTAACCTTTTCAAAATGTTTTATAAATTCTAGTTGCTTTGACTTTCCACATTAAAATTTAGAATAATATTGTCTGTACCTATAAAAATCATGATGAGTTTTGACAGAAATTGCATTAAATCTTCACATCAATTTAGGAAGAATTGATATTTTGCTTTGTTTAGTCTTCCAACCTATGAACACAATGTGTCATACTGATTAGATATTCTTTGGATTCTTATCACCTTTTTTTTTTGCCACTTTTTTTTTTTTAATACTGAGGTTTAAACTTAGGGTCTCATACTTGCTAGGCAGGTGCTCTGCCATGTGAACCATGCTTCCAGCTCTTATCACTATTTTGTCATTTTCAGTATGCAGATTTTGTCTATAATTTGTCAGGTTTATTTTCAGTATAATTCTCAGTTTAATTATATACTTTCTTAGGTGTTTTATTGGGATACAATGTCATTTCATTTTTTTCGAGGTTTTAATAAATAAAATTGTATATATTTAAGCTGTATAATGTGGTGTTTTGATACACATATACATTACAGTATGATTGCCAAAATCAGGTACAGTAACATATGTATCACCTCACATAGTTGCCTTTGTGTGTGTGTGTTTGTGAGTGTTCATTTCCACGTGTAGATAGTGAGAAGACAAATATGGTTGATTTCATACCTTAGCTATTGTGAATAATACTACAATAAATATGAAGTGCAGATGTTCAACCATCCTCACATTCCTGGGATGAATTCCAATTGATCATGGTAAATAATCTTTTCAATGTGGTACTGGATTCAGTTTGCCAGTATTTGGCTGAGGGTGTCTCTGAAACATAATATTGAAATTAGACCAATTAATAACAAGTAACATGGCCTCTGAGCATTCAAGTGAAAGAGTCATGTGTCTCAGTTTACAGCAAAAGCTAGAAATGATTAAGCTTAGGGAGGAAGGCATGTCAAAAGCCAGATATGCCAAAGACTGTCAGAGTAGCTCAACTGGTAAGAATACAATGCTGCCTACCAAGAGCTGTACTTCTCATGCTGAACAGCCAAGTTGTGAATGCAAAGAAAAAGTTCTTAGAAGAAATTAAAGGTGCTATTCCAGTGAACACACAAATTATAAGTAAGCAAAACAGTATTAGTGATATGGAGAAATTTTAGTGGTCTGGATAGAAGGTCACACCAGCCATAACATTCCCTGTAGCTAAAACTTAATTCAGAGCAAAGTCCTAACACTCTTCAATTCCAGGAAGGCTAAGAGAGGTAAAGAAAATGCAGAAGAAAAGTTTGAAGATAGCAGAGACTGATTCATGAGGTTTAAGAAATGTGGACAACTTTGATCTAAAAGGGCAAAAATGAAACAGCAAGTGCAGGTATAGAGCTGAAGTAAGTTATCCAGAAAATCCAGATAAGATCATTAATGATGCTGACTACACTAAACAACAGATTTTCAGTGTAGCTGAAACAACCTTACATTGAAAGACCAAGATAAAGTCTTCTATCCAGATCACCAAATCTTTCTCCACATCAGCAGTAAGGCTGTTTTGCTAAAGCTGCCATCTAGGATTTTCATAGCTACAGAGAAGTCAGAACCTAGCTTCAAGCTCTCAGAGGACAAGCTGACTCTTGTTAGAATCTGATGCAGATGGTGACTTTAATTTGAAGCCATTGTTCACTTACATTCCCAAAATGCTTGGGCTCTTAAGAGTAACACTAATTGTACTCTTTGTGTGCTGCGTGAATGAAACAACAAAATCTGGATGACAGTATATCTGTTTCTAACGTAGTTCACAGTATATTTTAATATTTCCGTAAAGACCTGCTGCCATAAAAAAATTTCTTTCAAAATATTACTGTCACAGACAATGCACCTATTCCCCCAAAAGTTCTGATGTTAATGAATAATCAGGTTGATGTTGCTCCATTTTTACAACTCAGGGAATCAATGAGTAACAACTTAAGGTTGTTGAATTGCTGCAATCTCATAATGAAACTTTAAAAAGATAAGGAGTTGGTTTTCATGGATGAACAAAGAAAGTGGTTTCTGGAAATGGAATCTATTCCTGGGGAACATTCTGTGCACATTGTGAAATGACAACAAAGAATTTTAAATATTATATAAACTTAGTTGACAATGTAGTGACAGAACTTGGCAGAATTGACTCCAATTTTGAAAGAAGTTTTACTGTGGCTAAAATGCTATTCAACAGCATTGCATGTGACAGAGAAGAATTTTGTGAAAGGAGGAGTTCATGGGTACCATAAACTTCACTGTTGTCTTATTTTAAGAAAGTTCCACAGCCACCCAACCTTTGTCAACCTTCACTGTGATCGGCCAGCAGCCATCAACGTTGAAGCAAGGATTTCACTGGCAAAAAGATGATGATGTGTTAAAGGCTCAGATGACTGTTAGCATATTTAGCAATAAGATATTTTAAGTTGTGTACCTTTTATGCACTTGTGCTATTGCACACAATCCTCTACAATTTGGTGCAAAAACATAAGTTTCATATGCACTGGGAAACCAAAGTATTCATGTTTATCACTGTGTGGCAGTAGTTGGGAACTTAGCCCATGATGTCTACTGAGATGTGCCTTTGGCGGGGAATAATTTTTAAAGAAATAAAGGATACACCATAACCTTTTTGAGATCAATGTCAAGTTATAAAACCGAGAAACTAACATCACCAAAAGTAAACATATAAATCAAACTATCACATTTCCCTCATAACTGAATGAACTGTTCGGTCCGACTCATTTAGTAATTGGTCCAAATGCCCAATCCAATGACCTGTCTTTATTTACAATATTGTATAGCAAAGAACTTTCTGCAAGGCAAAAGAAAACAATAAAAAGATGCCACTCTTTAAAGCAAGGTACATTGTAACTACAGCCATCAGCCCAAATTCTAAAGCTGTTTGCAAAGCCTTGAGGTAATTAAGTATTGATAGAAGAAAGAACAGGAGAGTTAAGAATTATATACCTGATTCCCGTAATAGCTGCTTCCTTAGAGTTGGTGTCACATGAAGCTGAAACTGGAGTTTTGAGCCCACAGCCCAAATGCCTGGGATTCCAACATGCCAAGTCAGGCCACTCACCCCTTATATGCCAAAGTGTAACCACTCAGCCCATCTTCAGCCATCTTCCTGGGGTACAGACATGAATATAGGCTTAAGTAAACAAAAGAACTGGGGGCAGAGGACAAAAGGAATGCTTAGTTAAACAGTTCCAGTCACAGGTGTATTTTTTTCTTTTTTTTTTTAATTTCTTTTATTCATATGGGTATACAATGTTTGGGTTATTTCTCCCCCCTTCCACCTGCACCCTCCCTTTCTCCCCAACACCTCCCTCCCCCCCACTCCCTTGCTACCAGGCAGAAACTATTTTGACCTTATCTCTAATTTTGTTGAAGAGAGAGTATAAGCAGTAATAGGAAGGACCAAGGGTTTTTGCTAGTTGAGATAAGGATAGCTATACAGGGAGTTTACTCACATTGCTTTCCTGTACATGTGTGTTACATTCTAAATTAAATCTTCTTGAACTAGCCTTTTCTCTAGTTCCTGGTTCCCATCTCCTAATGGCCTCTGTCGCTTTAAAGTTTCTGCATTAGTTTCTCTGCATCGAGGGCAACAAATGCTATCTAGTTTTTTGGGTGTCTTACCTATCCTCATACTGCCCTTGCGTGCTATCACATTATCATGTGATCAAAGTCCAATCCCCTTGTTGTGTTTACTCTTGCTCTAATGTCCACATATGAGGGAGAACATACGGTTTTTGGTATTTTGGGCCAGGCTAACCTCGCTCAGAATGATGTTCTCCAGTTCCATCCATTTACCTGCAACTGATAAGATTTCATTCTTCTTCATGGCTGCATAAAATTCCATTGTGTATAAATACCACATTTTCTTGATCCATTCGTCAGTGGTAGGGCATCTTGGCTGTTTCCATAACTTGGCTATTGTGAATAGTGCTGCAATAAACATGGGTGCACAGGTGTATTCTGATTGACCATTATCTAGTCAGACGGTTCCAGAGAAGCTGTCATGGCTGTCATCACTCAAGGGGAGCAATCTTGTTACAGGGTTGATTCATCTAAGAAGACATTAGTTCAGAAGACTCTGAGTCCTGTTGTCACCTGAACAGAGAAGTGGACATTGACACAACTAGCAAAACTTTATTGATAGAAAAGGAAAAAAGAGTAAGAGGAAGAACCACAAGAGAAAAGGGGCAGGCCCCTGCCAGATGGCATGGAAGCATTGATCTCTTTGTTTAAAGACCAAATTATAAATTGTAAGGTGGGAAAAATCTGGGGAGTCCTTAGGGAGGAGCTAGGGTGGCTGGCAGGTATACTTAACACAGCCTTGTCACATAACAAAGGATACCCTGCACATGTGCTTATGATAAATTTGGGCTTTAATTGTAGGTATGAGAGGTAACCAATATTCATGAGGGCTTAAGTAAAAGGACTTGACCTAGGAGGTTAAATTGGGGGCATATCCAAAGACTATTTTGCAATGATATTTACAACCACCAGGTTTTATACAACTTAGAGAGGGCAATTATTTCTCTAGAGATAGTTCAGGGATGTGCTGGGTTGCCTGTTAACTTTGTTTAAGAGAAGAGAGACCCTGGTATGTTATTTTCCCTGCCTGCTAACCTACCTCAGAGTCTTAAGTGCTGAACAAACAGTAAATAGTTAATAAACATGGGTGTGCAAGTGCCTCTGAAGTAACCTGTGTCACATTCTTTTGGCTCCTATTTAAAACACTTACCCATTGCATTCCTCTGATCCCAGACCATTCTCAAAGCCCCCTCTAATTGAGTCCATTTGAGATCCCCTATGGAAGACCTTCCTCTTAACCAGCCTTCTGTTTGACTCCAAAATGAGTCCAACAGCCTTAACAAGTCCACAGATCCTCCAATATGGCAGCACCTTGATACTGGCACCCACTCCCTGCAATAGACCTGTTCCATATCTACTTGAGATAAGAACAGGAAAGATTATCTCCTTGATTCCTTGGCTTCAGAACCAAAGGGGCCTTGAGTTACTAATGGCTCACTAAGGTGGCTCATGCCTTTAAATAAGAGATGACTGCTGCTTCTATGTCAACCAATCAGAAAGGTCCAACCAAATTTAAAGGGCTTCTTAGAACAGGTTACAAAAATCCAAAATCCAATGAGGTCATTCAGCCTCATTGTCAGTTTCTCACTCCCATTGTATCATGGATCTTCTGCTTTCCGTGTCCCCTACTTCTAATTCTCCTACTTGTCAAATTCAAGCCTCTAATTTTTAAATTTCCCATCCCCAGTCTACAGAATACTTTCATCTTCAGACAATACCAGCAATTTCCACCAGTACCTTTTCACCCCTGGATGACACAGTCCCGAAAGAGAGCAAAATCCTGGACCCCTAGTACCTCCTCCCATCAGAAGGAAGCTGACAGATCAATGTCAACTTCCTATTCCCTGAAAGAATTCAGGGTACTGGGCTCTTAAAATTGGAATATTAACATAGGTATCTAAGTAGACAAGAGCAGGAATGAGGAAACGCCACCAGCAAAATATTCCATCCCCTATTTGTGGAGGTGGATTCATAAATCCAAGAAGGTCCCACACTCTGCACCTGAAGTTCAGATGTTGGTTATCCTCCTCATCAAGCATACTTCCCATGTCAAGGCCACACATGAGCCTTGAAGGGCATAATGACAGCTATGTGAACATCCACAGACAGTGCTAGACTGGGAAGGGCAAAGAGGATCAAATGCACAGGTAGGTGCCTGGCCTCATGTTCCCAAAAAGCACAGGTATATGATTTCCCACACCCAAGTAAACACTACACAGTTGCCAAACCATCTGCAGAGGGCCCCAATGTAATGTTGACTAGTAATCCCCCCCCATAGGATAATAAAAACTCCATGGCAACTTTGAAACAGTTTGTTCTTATCTGAACTGCCTGCCTCAGGTCTCATGGTGTGTTTTCACTTTGCTAATAAATTGTTCCTTGCTATCTTTCTACTCTTTGAGGTTCTTTTGTTGTGCCTGGGGCAGTTTTTTTTTTGGCAGTACTGGAGTTTTGCCCAGGCTGCCTTCAAACCACTATCCTTCTGATCTCTGCCTTCTGAGTACCTAGGATTACAGGAGTGAGCCACCAGCACCCAGCACTGGGGCAGCATTTTAATCTTAGACATTGCACCCAAAGAGCTGAGGACATTTCATTCACCTGTAACATACTCACTACCTCCCAAATCAAGGGGACTTTTTCTCCATTTTTATTTCATTTTTGTTTTATGTCCCAAGCTAATATTATACTTAGATATCAAATACCAAAAATTGGAACATTTATCCCAGGAAGAATTGTTCATATGAAAGTATGCTCAATGTATCTGATACTGGAATAAAAAAAAAACTATGTGATATGACAAAATCATTATATTGATATTGAAATATAGAAGAGATATAACGCTAAAAAACTATATTGATTGAGAAACATCCCCTCAGTGAAAAGTATTACATTAAACATAAACATATTACCTTGTAAGTTAAGCCTTCCACCATTTTCTCTCTCTTTTTTTTTTAATGGGCTGAGTGGGGTTTAAACTCAGGGCTTTGTAGGCTTGAGCCTCACTTCCAGTCCATTTTGCTTTGGTTATTTTGGACATGGAGTCTTGCAAACTATTTGCTTGGGCTGGCCTCAAACCATGATCCTCTAGATCTCATCCTCCCAAGTAGTTAGGATTACAGGCATGAGCCAGCAGTGCCTGGCTACACAAACCTTTAATATACTGAGAAAGTGAAGTAACTGTCTGAAAGTCTACAAAGATGAGAGAGACAGTGATTTGAAAGATTACAATTAAGAAAAAATCGTCCATAATGCTCAAGAAAAACTAAGACAAACGAGTAAACTTATTAAAGCAAGTTTATTATTTTCACTTTTTCCATAAAAAGAAAGTAAAATAAGGTTTCTTTTCCAAACTGCAAACATGCTTAAAAAAGCAGAGGGACAAAGGTTTTTTTCCTTGTTTCAATGAAATGAAAATCATGCTTTTAGGAGGTCATGTCCATTTAGGATTCAGGTTCTGCTTTGACAGAACATTTTCCACACAATTTTTTGGAATTTTAAGATGTTGCCATGGAGTGAGTTTGCCTGTGTTTCCAAATTTGACCGTATTTAACTCAATTCCTTTATTTTACAAGTTAAATTATAAGGAATAAGAAAGTTCTTGGGAAAGCAGGGAAGAATGGTGGATTAAAAGCTTCCTCCATTTGACTGTGTGAATGAGAAGACTCAGGGTTACAAAAGAGAGACTAGATTCCGAAGTCAGAAAGAGCAGAAGAGCATCAGGAATCATGAGAGAGAACAGCTGAAAAACATGGATAAACAGAAAGGGGAGCCGGGAGCCAGTGGTCCACTGGCTGTCTGAAGCTATAATCCTAGCTTCAGATCTGCAATTTGAAGACAGTCCAGACAGAGGTCAAGAGAGTCCCATCTCAACCAATTGCTGGGTGTGGTGGTGCATGCCTGTCAGCCTAGTGACAGCAGAAAGCATAAAATAGGAGTATTGTGGACAGAGTAGCCTGAGCAAAAAGCGAGACCATATCTCCAAAATAATCAAAGCAAAAAGAGCTTGAGGTGTGGCTCAAACTATAAGTGACTGCCTAGCAAGCACAAGCCTTGAGGTCAAACCCCAAGCACCACAGGTTAAAAAAAAAATTGAAAGGTGACAGAGAAAAGGTAAGAAACAGCCTGCAATTCCAACAGAAGTTTGTTTACCCCAGGGGTTGGGAGGGAAAACTGAAGCCACAACCTCAAGGTAAATCTAATGACAGACTGACAGACCTAACCATGGATAAGCCCACATTTCTCCGAAGACTTAAACCCAGTATGGGGATTTAGCATAATAGTGACTGCTCCTGCATGGTAGGCTAGCATCGGAAAAGAAATTTTGTCACTCCTCGTGTCATACAGTGTGTTAGCAAGGTGCCTTCTTGAGAGAGGGCCTTATTGTTTGAGACTGAGCTATTCTCGGAAACCTGTAAAAAGTAACAACAGTGGCAGGACACCCTGCCACACTGAGTGGGAGACAGCCTTTAGAGGAAGGGGCTGATGTGGACCTGCTGAGAAGTTTAAGCAGCAGGGAACTTGAACAGTGACAAGCATCATGGTTGGTGGCCCGGCCCTTTCTGGCAAGGAATGAGCCCCACCACTAGATGATCACTGCAGAAAGTGCGCTGAGCCAGTGGTTTGCAGACTACTCAGCCTCTCTCCTCACTACATGGATGCTGTTACCAAGTAGGACAGAGAGTGCTGAGCCCAGGTCCCACAGGTCACCTGATTTCCCAACCTCCTCCTACTATAGGATGGTTAACTTCCAGGTGGGGTCTGAAAGTACTGAGATTGTGAGGCAGAGTGCCTGAGTCTTTCAGTTCTCCCATTCTGGTCCATAATTAGTGCTGTTTGCTGTCCACCCCCACCATCTGATGAGTTCAGGAGAAACTGCTATATCTGCACACTTGTTGCCCATGAGGGCACTAAGCATGCTGGGAAACATGTGGAACAAGTGGGAATGTGCTAGACCACAGGCTAAGCATGCTGGGAAACATGTGGAACAAGTGGGAATGTGCTAGACCACAGGCTACAAAGCTTCTTGTAACTGGCAGCAGCAACCAGTACATTAAATAAGGGAAGCTTTTAAAGTGAAAGCAGCCCTGAAGCAGATAACTTGACTCATGGCTGCTCCCAGCATCAGCCTACATACAACATCAACCTATAGACTAGGAATTACAAGTGACTCCAGCTAGCTTTCTTGTCTCTAAGGGGTAATAGGGATAGAGCCCGGTACAGACAAGCATGTGGGTGAATGTTTAGCTACTGAGCTATGTTCCCAGTCCAATGGTGAGAAACTGCACATCAATCCAAACTTGCTATGGTTCAGTTTTTGTTTGATGTTGAATCTCAGAACTGTATAGTTTAAGCCACCTTGGCTTTTACAAGCTTAGAAAAATACAGGGTTTGAAGGAATAGAGCAAAGAGTGTGAGCTTAAATATGAAGTGATTTTCCAACTGAAAGATTTCATGTCCAGATTTTTGTAGCACTAGAACTGCCCATGTATATTCTTGACAGAGCTCTGTGACATGAAATCCCCTTACTAGAGTAAGCACTAACAAGTTAGTCCCTCCTATAGTATGGATCTGAAATGTCCCCCCAAAGGCTCTTATGTAAAAAAGACTTTGTCCCCAGACTGTGGTGCTGCCAAGTGATGGAACCTTTAAGATGTCTTAGGTTATTAGGGGCATGTCCGCAAAGAGGATTATAGAACCCTGGTTCTTCCTTTTCTTTTGCTTCCCTATTTGACATGCACTCCCTATCATGATGTGGTACCTTGCCACAGGCCCAACAGCAATGGAACCAAAAAATGATGGACTGAAGTTTCCAAAACTGTGAGCTCATAAAACTGTGAGTCTTACCATTTTCTAAGTTTTTTTCTCTCAGGTATTATTGCAGTAACGGAAAGTTGACTAACACAGTCTAGTCATCAATAAAAGTCATCAACTATTCTCTTCATCAATGAAAGTCACAAACAGAATACTGCCAAGGACTGGGGAAGTAGCTCAAGTGGTAGAGCTCCTGACTAGCAAGCAAAAGGTCCTGAGTTCAAACCCCAGGTCACTAAAAAAGAACATTATGGATACTGCTTAAGGATACAATTAATCTGTTTTGGAGGAAAGAGGGCTGGGTGGAGTGCCCTGTTTATTTGGAGGGACAACTATTTGAGTGATTAGCTCCATCAGGGATTAGTCACTAGGAGATAATCTATGGAAACCTTAGATTTTACTCAAGATTTCTTAATGGCAAGGATTCCTGGTCTCTTCTGTGATGAGGACATAGGCCATTTCCCTGAGTTAACATCCCTTCCTGAAGCAGAGTGGTTGTGATGGCAGCAACCAGTCTGGAAATGGATTTATTGAGGAATATTTTAAGGACAACTGGTAAATCTCTCCATCTATTATTTGGGAAGTATTTATTTCCCAGACCGAACAACAAGACATGAAGAAAACATCATTTCCTTAAGACAGATCTAAGTGTCTTATAATAGCACCAAAGAAAGACAATTTGGAACAAGCATCAAAGAACATGGTTTGTTCAAATGTCAGTTTCCTCATACCTTGAAGAAAGGCCTGCAAATCTCAGGGAAGTAGAGAACCCAAAATAAGAGCAGAGACCTCAAGAATCTGTTCTGCAGGAAACAGAACACCTGGTCAAATAAAAGATACCATGCACACAGTTTTGAGACTAAATTTATTGAGTAAAAATGAAAACAATGTAGACATATTAAATTTGGTTTTGTTCAAATGTGGCTGGTGTCCAGAGAAGACCCAAGGTGAGGAAGGTGCACAGTGATGGTGGCAATAGGACAATGTACAAAACCACTTCCCATTAGTTGTAAAAGTAGGCATCACACAACCAATGTGAGTCATTACCTGAAGAAGGGGGACTCAACATTTAATGAGCAAGGATAATCCCAAAGGAAGCAGGGGACTTTCAGGAGAGGACCAGAACACTCAGCAAACAAGGTGCTGTAAAGGCTGGCTGGAGAGCAGCGGTTTATACAGATCTTCTGGATCACTTGGGGAACACAGTGACCACATCGTAACCCTCAGGTGGTGTGACCCGCTCCCGGGCATGCTTTTCACAATAGATTTGATCCTCTACAAAGAAATGGCCCTTCTGTTTTAGGTTGGTTCCGCAGTCAGTGCACACGTAACACTCAGGGTGGCGATGACGGTCCCGCAGCTTCACAAACACACCACTGAAGGAAGGGAGAAGAGGGCTCCATGAAGGACAAGGTAGCTGTAAGTGGCACAGGGGCCCTGTGCTATCCTTGCTGAGCTGGGGTCTGGGGAATCGTAAGAAAGGCCTACCAAGGAGAAAGACTAGGCCCCCACGCAGCCTCCAGTGAGTCAAGAGACATTGCTCTGGAAGCCCCTCCCACCTGAGCTGAGCCATCCTGTCTTTCTGCTTTGACACGTTCACAACCTAAGGGCTCCACAACAAGGAAAACCTGCATTGCCTGGCTCTGAGACAGACCCCTACAGTACCTTTCTACTCGAAGCATCCAACATCCACATTTCCATCATTTACTCAACCTGCAGGGCCTCTAGGACTGGGGAAAGCAGATACTCACACAATGCCGGTGCCACATTTGTCACACATGGGTAACTTCTGAGCATTTCCAATTGAGGCAGCCACTTTGGTGACGGGAGCTTTAACACTCCTAAATCCTGAAGGCTTGTTGGGATCCCCTGAAGGAAGTGCAGAATTGCATCAATCTCATTTAGCTCTTTCAGAGTCGTGTGTGTGCATGTGTGTGCGTGTGTGGTGTGTGTGCACGCGCACGTGCGTATCCAAGCAAGGCCACAGGCATTCAAGTCAAACAGATGTGACCCTGATGTGTGATACTGAACAAGTTACTTAAGACTTTGTGGACTCCCAGCTTCCTTCTCTATAAAACAAGAGATCACTTTTCCCTTCATTGTTGTACCAGAAGATAAAAATGTACACATAAAGCATGCCTACAATACCTGGTATGTGGTCAGTCCTCACAACACAAATTAATAACTACATGCAAACACTGATAAGAAAACTTAAAATGCCTCATACAGATATAGCAACTACATAAAAGCAGTATTTGATAAGACAGCTCATTTAGATGCAAAGAAACCCATTATCACACACACACACACACACACACACACACACACACACTACAGCAGGCTACAAGCTGTCAGATTAAAAGCATGTCCAGAGTAAGGAATCTTTCTGTAATCAGACTGGTACACATGACATAAGCTTCTAGTTGCTAGATGCTGCCCACTGCCTACCTTCTGCATGTCTTAGGGCACAGAGCCCTGTATCTCAGTAACTATCAATAATAGTAGGATAAAATTTAATACATGAAGAAATGTTCAACATCTTTGGTCATAAAGGAAATGTCAAAACTATTGTGAGATTTCAGCTCACTCCCGTCAGAATGGCTACCATCAAGAACACTGGTGGGGACCAGTGGCTCACACCTGTAATCCTGGCTATTTGGGAGGCTGAGATCAGAAGGATCTTGAAACTCCATCTCCAAAATAACTAGAGCAAAATGGACTGGAGGTGTGCTCATGCAGTAGAGCACCTGCTTTGTGAGCACAAAGCCATGAGTTCAAAACTCCAATCCCACTAAAACCAAAGAAAACAAACAACAAATGTTGGCTAGAATGCAGGGAAAAGGAACCCTTTTACACTGTTAGTAGGAATGTAGATTAGTGCAATAATTATGGAAAGCAGTATGGAGGCGCCTCAAAACACTAAAAACAGATCTACCATATGATCCAGCAATACCACTTCTGGGCATATATCTGTAGGAATGTAAGTGAGGATACAATACAGACTCTTGCAAGCCCATGTTTATTGCAATATTATTCACAACAGTCAAGCTGTATGGAAACAGCCAAAATGCCCCACACTGATGAATGGATTAAGAAAATGTGATATATATATAATATATATATATATACACTGGAGTAGTATTCATACATGAAGAGTGAAATTATGTCATTTGCACACTTACTTTGTATTAAATAAAGCCAGGTTCAGAAAGACGAAGGTTGCATGTTTTCCTCATATGTGGAAGACTGATCCAAAAGTTAAATGTATACACAAATACAAACAAACATGATCATATATCTGTATTTGTAATAGTGGGACTATTTGAGGGGACTTGGCAGAGGAAGGAGGGAGAGGAACAAAATGATAAGAGAGTGAATAATTTGAAATAAGTTGCATCTGTATGGAAAGACGGCATAATGAAATGTACTAAATCTGTTGAATAACGGGGGAGGAGAAAAGGGACAGTAATAGAGGGTATTAATCTGACTAACATACAATACATTCGTGGGTGAAATACTATGGCAAAATCCTTTCGAACAATATACAGGAATGTAAAACAGGACCTGTTAGGGAGTGGGTACTAGTGGGAGGGGCAGGGTAATGGAGAGGGTGAATATACTGGATGTACTTTATATACTTGTAAGAAAAATGAAACAATGAATCATTTTAAGTAGTGGGTAGGGTGGATGAGGGAGAATGGAGGGGTTGAATATAAGCATATATGGAAGTGCTACAATGAGACTCCCTGTTCAACTAATATATGCTAATGAAAGTGTTAAATAATAATAATAGTAGGCTGTTAATATTATTATTATTATTATTCCCGTATTTTGGGCTGGTTGGGCTTCTGCGTGACTTTTTTTTTTTTCTTTTACTGTGATGTGGCCTGGCAGTATTACTTTGTCAGCTATTTATACATTCTCTCTCTTTCTGGACTGCAAACTACCTGAGCAGCATGAACCTTATTGTATGTACTCTTCAACACCACACAGAGCTGAACACAGGGTTTAAAAAAAAAAAACAGAGGCTCCATAAAGACATGGGAAGGAATGAGGAAATGGCATGATGATACATGATGACTCTACCTTAGTTTGACATGCTTTGGCTCAAGAAACTAGACATTAAAACAGCAGCAGTGGTTCTGAATAGGCACCTGTGAACATCCCAGGTATCAGGAAAGCTTTCATATATACACAAATTCACAGACAAGCCCCACCCCAGACCAGCCAAATGAGCATTTCCAGGTACAGGAGACTCTATTACACACTACTGGTTAAATTAGTCAAAAGCAGCTGTTCTCAAATGTTATTGTACATCAAAATCATCTGTAAGGCTTGCTAAACCATAAATTACTGGGCTCCCTCCCACCAGAGTTTGTGATTTAATAGGCTCAAGATGGGGCCTGACAACTTTCATTTTCAACAAGCTCCTGGGAGTTGCTGGTGGTGGTACTGGAACCACTATACCAAGAACTACTGGACAAGGGCAAAGAAATGGCATTCTGTGAAAGGAAGTAGTAGGAGAGGGTACTCCCAAAACTGCGGCTAAGCTGTGCAATCCTGAGGCTGACAGACAAGGACGCTGGCTCTTTCACCCTCTCAGAAAACAGTTCCCAAATGCTACCTCGTACTTTTGAACAAAAATCGAGACATGGGTACGTAGAATGCTTCTGGGTGGTGTGGTTGACTGCATATTCTGCCCTGCTTCCCTCTGGTTGGTGGTCCGTTACCGGACAGGGGGTTATGTGCCCTAGGAAACAGCTTGAATTGTCACAACTGGAGGGGTGATGCCATTATCATCTAGGTGGAAGGCCAGGGATGCTGGAAACATTTCAACACGCCCAGGGCAGCCCCACCACAAGGACTTACATGGCCCAGCATGTCACCAGTACCGAAGCTGAGAAACCCTGCTCTTGGTGGGGTAAATGGCATTTACAGACTGTGGCCAACGGAGTGTGAGACATAAGCCCTACTCAGGCAGAAGCAGTAATTCACTGTGTAGCTCAGCTCTGTCCCCACAGGGCACATGACTTCTGCTGCCTGAGAACAGCAAGCCCCAGAGAATGCCTTGCCTTCACTGGGCTCCCTGTGGTGAGAAGACTCACTCCAGCCCAGCCAAGCCCTGCCAAGCCACGGCTGAACAGCAGCCCTCATGTGACAAATAACCCACTGTTAGCACAGTATGAGACCTAGCTTGAGGTACTTTGCTGGCTTAGGGGGAACAGGAGGGAGTATTTGAAAGCAGCTTGGATCCTCAACAGACCTGTTGTGAGTACTTCTAATTGCCTGGAGTCCAACAGTAAGCTAGCTTCAAAGAAAGAAAATTTTCTGTATATTTCCAGTGTTGGTTGGATAAAAAAGAAAACTACCTCAGGCCAGAAGGTGGCGCTGCAGGACTGAACAAAATACAGTGAGGGTTGCATTACCTAGCACCCAGCCCGTTCTGCCCCGGTTGTGCCCACTCTCTCAGATTTCCCAATTAGTGTTGGGTCCTCCTACACTTGGGAACAGATGCCCATCTGGTAACATGAGATGGGGCAGATGTTAGGATTCTCCAAAGTATCCATTGTGGTAAGTTGTGAGTTCTATGGATGGGCTTGGGGAAGGCTTAGTTTCGGCCCTACCACAGGTTCATCAGGGAAAACCACCTTGATGTTTCCATATTCAGAACCCAGGGCACTTCTTGCCTTTCCCAAGCTTCCCTTCCTTTGGGCGGTCGGGGCCTAATTTTGTTCATTATAGTTGTTTTTTAATTTTTTATTTTTTTAACTATTGCATTTTATTAGTTTTGTCTTGACTAGTGTGTTTTTTAATGTTGTCAAGTTTTATACCCAAAGCAAATTCCTCACTCATCTCACCCCAACCTTGGCCCTGCATGAGGCTATCTCGGAAGGGCCTGCGTGGGCAGTTGTGCCATGCATCTTGCCTCAAGCATCCCAAACAGGTCTTCCTGTTCCTGGCAGTTAGGACTTGGTTGCCTACCCCATGTGACAAGAAGGGAACTGCAGCGTCTTTACACATCTCTTCAGTGGACAAGAGAACTGACTTCTGAAGGGACAGCTCAGCAAGACTGAGCTGTTTTACATGATTGACTGTCTTGCACAAGACTCAATCACCAGGAAATAAGAAGGGGTAGGTACAAAAGGATAGAAGGAGAGAAGGCAAGAGAAACATGGAATCACCACGTGGTAGGAGAATCCACATCTAGGCTGTGTGCTGGATGGAGCAGCCCTCACTTTGGTTTGTTCGGTCCTGCAGCGCCACCTGCTGGCACAAGGCGTTTTCTCTCACTTATCCAGAAAACACTGGAAATGCAATTTGTAACTAGCTTTTACTGTTGGGCTCTAGGCAACTCCAAGTGTTTCCAAATTTCTCTTCTTCCAGTGAACCCTGTATCCCAAATATTTCAGGAAAAAAGTGAAAATTATCTAAATAAAGCATAGTTGTTTTTCTAGACACTTCACTGCTCAACAATGTGGTCCCCTCCCCCTACAGAATCAAACTCAGGATCCTTCACATAACACTGGTGGCTAGACTCCAAACCATCTGAGGGTCCTCCTGGAACCCTGGGCACCAGGCATAATAAGCCTAGATATTTACTGAGCAAGTCTCCAGCTTTCATATCTAGGAGCCTAAGGCCATCACTGCATTTTCCCACTTCATGTCTCTTTCCAGACATACTGCATGTCTCCTCACTCCAAAGTCTCCTTCTAAGGACAGATGAACGGATAAACAAAAAGCAGTGCATGCACAAATGGAATATTATTCCATCTTAAAAAGAAAGGAGATTCCGAAACACTCCTGGCACAGAGGATGAACTACAGCCAAAATCTGACAACCTGTATCAAACCTGAGGTTTGTTACCATCCTGCTGCTGCCAAGCGTCCTGCGGTGCCTCACTGACCTGGCACTTCCCAGAACCATGTTCCCTTGAGCCCCCTAACAATCCTGTTAAAGTGAGGTGGCCACACTGGACATTTGCAGACACCATGGCTCAGGGGACTAGTAGCTTGCTGGACATGGACACTGGGTGCCAGTGCTTTCTACCTGCAGGCTGCTCTCTGAAGCAGAGGACTTTCCAGATGACAGCAGCACTAACTGAGTGCTTTTACCGTTACAAGCCATGGCTCTAAGCTTTGGCCGTCTCATTCCAACAGGCATTTTTGGTTCCCTTCGCAGAGAGCCTTCTGTCTGCATGTAATGGACATTTGGACTAAAATTTATCCTGTTGCATTCAGTGAAAAATTTAATGTAAGTACACATTAAAAGACATAAGAGAAGCTGGGTACCGGTGACTGATGCCCATAATCCTAGCTCCTTGGGAGGGTGAGATGAGGAGGACTGAGGTTCTAGGCCAGCAAAACGTTCACAAGACGCTATCTCAACCAGTAGCTGGGCATCATCCCAAGTTGTGTGGGAGGCTGAGATCAGGAGGATGGCAGTTCTAGGCCAGAAAAAAATTTTCTAGGCCAGGAAAAAAATTTTGTGAGACCCCATCTCAATAGAAAAAACCTGGGTGTTGGTGACACATACCTGTCATCCCAGTAAGGATGGGGAGCCTAAAAAAACAGGATCAAAGTCCAGTGAAAAAGTGAGATTCTATCTCCAAAATAACCAGAGCAAAAAGGGTTAGGGATGTAGCTCAAGTGGTAGAGCACCTGCCTAGCAAGTATGAAGTTCTATGTTCCAATCCCAGTACCATAAAAGAAAGGAAAAAAAAAAAGACATGGAAAAACTACTAGATCGTCCTCTTCCTTCTTAGCAAAATCATTTTTCTTTGAGGTGAGGAGGCATCCAGGGCCAGGTGTAGTTTCACACACCTGCAATTCCAGCTATGCAGGAGGCAAAGATAGGAGAATAATAGTTCAAGGCCAGCTCAGGCAAAAAGGTTAGCAAGACCCTACCTGAGAAACAAGCCGGGTGTGGTGGTGGTGTGGTTAGTGCACACCTGTAACTCCAGCTACACTGGAGGAGGTGAGAGGATCCCAGTCCAAGGCCAGCCTGGACAAAAGCATGAGACCCTATCAAAAAACAAACTAAAGCCAAAAGGACTGGGTGCATGGCTCAAGTGGTAGAATGCTTGCCTAGCAAATACAAGGCCCTGAGTTCAATCTGCAGTACCAGGAAAAAAAAATTGTAATTCACGATCACATAATTAGATGTGGCCATGTGGTTAAATTCTGGTCAATAAAATGTAACTGAAATAGAAATGTGGGAAGGAGAAAGCTGGCTTATCTGACAGGGGACCCACCCAATTATCCCTTGTCCCCTTCCTTTGTCTCTGGAGCCTAGAAGTAAGCAAGATGGCCAGAGCACCAGCGCTGCCAACTAGGAAGATGAGGTATCCTTGAGCATGGAAGGCAAGGGATTGGCTGGTAGAGCAGAGGATAGGAGGAGTTCAGATACTGATAGACATCTATTCAGAACTCCATGCTCAGGTTCTTATCTGTGAACCAGGTAAGTTTTGCAGCATCTGTCTATGTCCTACTTGGGACTGAGATGGACTGACTCTGCCTCTTAATTGAAGAGTTTCGCCCCCAATTACTCAGAGTAAAATAAGCTGTGATATCTCATATGTTTTGACAAAGCTGTCATCCTCCAGGGTTGGATCCACAGTTGTCTGCCAGTCAGGCCTAACACTGACATTTAATACAAAGTTTGGCTCGTTTCTTTCCTTCTGCACAGATACTCCAAGGAAAGAGGGAAACTGCTGGTAGAATAATATTGTGTAGCACAAAAAAAGGACTTTTCTAATTTTCTGGGGATATAAATCACCACTCTCTCTAAAGTACCCAACACTGGAGTAGCCACCTGGGAGGCACAGAAACCCGAGGTGTCAAGGCCCAAGTGACTTTATGAGGTGAAAAAGCATCCCTTCTTCAACACATCAACAGGTCATAGTCTCTCAAAATATACTGTCGTTATTAATGAAGATAAATTACTGCTATCTGCTTTAACATCACAATAATAAACACATGGCATGAGATGCCTACAGTAAGAACATTGTCCTGAGACCTATGAAACCACACGAGGTGGCCCTAAGTGCTGCAGGCATCACAGCTCACCCCTGGGCAAGCTAACACTGACCCGTAGGCCTCCTGATAAAGATTCAAGCATCCTAACAATTAGGGATCACCCACACAGTGAGGGGGTCTTTTGCACAACTTATGATACCTGAGCCTATACACTAGCCTCACAGGGTGAGGACACAGACACACTGGAGACTCTCAGGCCCTCAAGAGGCCATCTGTCCAAGAGTGAGAATGAACCCATGAGGGGAAGTGTGTGCCTGACTTCACTGGACTGCTGATCCATTTTCATTTCACATCTTCATCACCCATGGCCTCCACCTACTCCTGCTTATCTGCCATCCCAGAAGCATGGTGTATAGGCTCAAACCAAACAAATGGCCAAGGGACAGACCAAGAAAATCCCACAAGAGTCAAGCTCACTCTGACTTCAGCTTCCAAAAGCACATGTGGCAGCAAATAGTGAGCCAGGTATGGAGAATCTTAAATAAAGACTATTTGAGAAGGTGTAGTCAGGACGGGGAGCGCTCTTGTGCCTTTTTTTTTGGCCTAGTAGTGGGGATTAAACCCAGGGCCTGGGGCATCTTGGGCATACTAGCATACTGGGCAAGTACTCTGTCACTCAGGTACATCCCCAGCTCCCTCACGCACTCTCACACTCTGAGTTTTTAGCAGTTTACAAGTTCATTGCCAAGTCAGGTGTGTCCCTGTAGCCCCAGCCACTTGGGAGGCTGAAGCAGAAGGATAATGAGTTCAAGGCAGCCTGGGCAATTTAGCAAGACCCTGTCTCAAGTAAAAAAATTAAAATTCCATGCTTCCGAAGCACAGCATGCTCTTCCCACCTACTCCACACTGAGCTCTCCTGTGCTTCAGAACAACTAACCCTCACACCAGGCCTTGAGTAAAGCCACTGACTGCAGGTAAGGCTGATTACCTTTTTCCTCTGATTCCAGGATTTCCTGCAGAACCAGGAATGATGTGGACTGTTTCGGGGGCTCATTTAACTCCTGCTTCTCCTGTAGCATCTTGTAAACCTCAGATTCTTTGTCAATGACAAGGCCGCCTGAAGACGGAGGATGGTCGAAACTGTGAAGAATGTTTGGAAATTCATTAGGACATATTAGAAGTCAGAAAAAAAACTTCACCAGGCACTCCCCTCCAAGTAAAAATGCCCTGGTTCAAAGAATGGATAGAAATGATCCCATGTCTCTCGACCCAGTGTAGACCTTCTGCCAGTGTTGGTTGTAAGGTGTCCTCATAGGCAGGATGGTTGTCACTTTTATGGTTGTAGTTAAGAGACTATCTGCCCAAACAGCTTCAGTAATTCAATTACTTTTTGGCTTAATCCTACAGAAAAGGAATGCTTTACTTCTTTTTTGGGGGGGAAGGCATACTGGGGTTTGAATTCAGGGCCTTGTGGTTGCCAGGCAGAAGCTCCACCTGCTTGAGCTATTCCCACAGTCCTTTGTGTTTGGTAATTTTTTAGCCTGGGCCAGCCTGGACCGTGACCCTCCTAATTATGCTTCCCTGCACAGCTGGGATGACAGGCATGTGCCACCTCACCCAGTCAGACTTCTTTTTAAATTACATAAACAACATTATGTCAAGAGAAAATTTTTAAGAGGGAAAATGTCGACCACAGCCTGACCACTAAAACTCAGCTGAGACCCTCACACAAGCCACACGCATTCCTTCACAAGCAGAAACCACGTGCCCCTCATTCCTGATGCTCTCAAAGCACTTTCCCTGTCTCCCTGAGTTCCTCGTAGTTCTAACACTTGTAACACAGAACTAACAGTGCCTGGTTCACAGGGGTGGTGGCGAGAATAAAAAGGAAAAGTGCTTGCCAGGCCTCACCTCCCACCCCTTCCTCCTGTCACTCTATGTGTCCCAGAACAGGATGAGATAGGCAGTGCTGTGAGGCCTATTTCCCCTGGGCTCTATTTTCCAGTGGGTGAAGACCTGGGGTGCTGGCCCCAGGGAAGTAGGCTCCAGTGAGGCTCCAGATCCAATCCCTTCTCACCACCCCCAGGTCTCCTGCACGTGCAGCCACACCATCATCTGCCAGCAGGACTGATCTGCTGCGGTTCTCAGATGTGGACAGTTTTATTTTCAACAAGGACTAGAGGGATATTTTAAACACGTGAATCGACTATAGCGTATCATGCTGTGGTTCAATATAATCTCACAGCTTAGAGCCAAATATTTACAGTTTTAATAACAAAATGCAAGTTCAACCACATTCAACTCCTTGGGATAAATGTTCAGTACAAACAGGAAAAAGGCCCTCAAAGATGCGGCCCAGCTTCCCTGTGCAGTCATATCCTCTGGCTCATCTTCTCTCCTCGGCCCCTCTCACCCTCTTGCTGTGCCTAGACTACAGCAGCCTTGACTATCTTCCCAGATATATCACCAGGTTCCCCAAGTGGCTTCGCTCAGGTGCACTCCTCAGAAAGGGTTTCCCAACCCAAACTTAAAGCAGTCCACCCATCCCTATCACTCTAAACCCCCTTCTACACACACACACACACACACACACACACACACACACTCTCTCTCTCTCTCTCTCTCTACACATACTGTACTTGTAGTTCTTTATCTTGGTTCAGTCTAACTTCCCTTAGATGGTAAGCAGTAGCCTGGCCTGTCTTGTTCAGGCCTGGCTCAGTGCCTAGCCCAAGGCCACAGCTAGCAAGTATCGGTAAATGACAGAACACTGCCAAGGGCACCCAGTGCCTCTTCCTCAAGCTGCTATCTCCCTGTTCCTAAGACTCAGAGGTGTCCTCCAGGGCAACAGCTCCAAGGACTGTGCAGGGACGTGGGTGGCCCATCTTCTGGACCTTCCTCTCATTTCCACAGCTTCTTCAAAAGCTGCTAGAAGGACAGTGTGTCCAGGGGTGCAAAGGGCAAGTATCAGATGAATTGTTGGTGATGCAAATTATTAATGCAGATGGGTAAATCTGTACATGAACAAGTGTAACTGCAGAGTAACAAAGCTATGTGCCCTACAGCCCACGAGGCAGACCCCAGCTTGAAGGATGCCAGCAAGTGCAAAGAAATTATACTAAGCTGGGTGCCAGAAGCTCACGCCTGTAATCCTAGTTACTCAGGAGGCAGAGATCGGGAGGATCGTGGTTCGAAGCCAGCCTAGGCAATAGTTCACGAGACCCTATATGGAAAATACCATCACAAAAAAGGACTGGCACAAGGTGAAGGCCCTCAGTTCAAGCCCCAGTACTGCAAAAAGAAAAAAAAATTATTCTAATTATATTAATTCACTCACTTCCCAACAAGCATTGTGTAATTAGTTCACTTTCCATTTTCTTAAGAAAAATCAAAGTATATGTGTTCCCTGGGTGATTGTCCCAGGGAAGTTCTCTCCCTCTATGGGTTTTCTTTTTTTTTTGGTGGGACTAGGATTTAAATTCAAGGCTTCACATTTGCAAAGCACGCACTCTACCACTTGAGCCACACCTCCAGTCCATGTTGTTCTGCTTTTTTTTGGTGATGGGGTATCACCAACTATTTGCCCAGGCTGGGTTCCAGCCTCGAACCTCCCCATCTCAGCTTCCCAAGTAGCTAGGATTACAGATCTGGCCTTCCCCCTACTTCTTTTTTTCCCTCTCTAAGACAACCTGTGGGCAGCCTCCTGGAGCACTTTAAATGCGTAGTCCCCAGCTTAAAGCCTACTCAATCAAACAGCAATGAAGCCCAGGTGTTTCCTTTTCATTACAGTTATGTTCTGGCAACAAAACAAGACCCACAATAGGTGACATATGCTTTGCTGCTGCTGGAGAAGGTCAACATTTATAAAGCAGAAATGCTCATCAAGAGGTCACTCCTGCCAGCTGCAGTTTGTAGTGAGTGAAGGGAAGCAGCTATCCCTGCCTGCCCTGCCCACATCAGCTGAACTGCCTTTGTCTCTCTCCCTCCACCTGCAGGCAAGTGTGGGAGCCTCCCCTTAAGGCAGGCAAAGGGGCAACCCTGAGGAGTTGTCTTAACCCAGGGTCTACCTAGGGCTCACCTACTCAACCCTGTTCTTTGAGTTAGATGCTTGCTCCTCTTTCTTGAGTCTTGAGCTTGGAACTTGCCCTATAATAAGTGTATTACATTATTTCTTATGAATCTTTTTCTGTTACTCTTGGAACTATTTTAAAATCAAGATCAGACCATGGAATGTTCTTCGGAAGAATTTTTCCTCTTCTTTGGTGTATGTTATGTCTGGAAGTCACCAAGGGAGCAGTAAAAATGAAAGAACCAAACCACAAGGCCATCACATCCTCTCCAGCAAACAACCTTGGAAAGTATTTCCGTAATTAAAAACAATTTACTATTTATTCTCAAATGATGACACAATATTTTTGCTGCCAGACAATTTATAAAGTACTTCCGATATCCATTACCTTACTTGAAACACTAACATACAGAATTTAAATATAATAGCCTGAGTCATAATAACTCTAAGTCATAGACATTAAGCTGTAAAATATTAGTATGATAACACAATGTCTTAAAAAAATAGAGAACAAAAGTATTCATAAGAAATGGAGCAAAAAATTCTCATTTGTATATATAAAAACAGCAATGAAAGAAAATTCTACAGTGAGCCAGACATGGTGGTACATGCCTGCAATCCTGTAATCCCAGCACCTGGAAGACTGAGGCAAGAGGATGGAGAGTTTGAAATCAGCCTAAGATACATAGCATAAGCCTGTCTGAAAAAAAAAGAGCAGAACACTGAAATCTATTGAAGTCACTTTTAGAAGAATGGGCAGGAGTGAGAATAATGGAGGGGAAAATAAATCAGGGTATGATACATGTATATACGGAAATGTCACAACAAAATCCCCTGTATAACTTCATATACTAATAAAAATGCTTTTTAAAAAAGCAAGAGAACATAAAAAGAAATTCCCTTTGACCTCACCTCCCAGAGGAGGATTTTGGAGGTTATGACTGCCTGCCTTGAGTGACACGCAGCCCTGCTCCAGCAAAAGAGAGCAGCTGGAGCCCTACGAGGGTCAGAAGGTCAAGGAGGACCAAAAACAGCAGGCCTGTGGCTCTAGACATGGATCAGAACAGCAACCTGAAATGAAAGTTGACTCTAAATTGAAGAGTGGGGACATTATAAGGGCTTTTGTTGTTGTTTTTTAAATTTGAGTCAGCACCTGTGACAGCAAACTTAATAATCTAAACATAAATCCCAACTAAAACAAGAAATCTCTCAGTAAAAATTCATCTCAAATATTAAGACATAGGCAGGCTAAAAGGGTAGAAAATATTTCCATGACAATATTAATCAAAGGAAAGCAGGAGTGACTGACTGTATTACTAGACAGAGTACCCATTTAAACAAATAAATTCACCAGAGATGGAAAAATGTTATAAAAGCACAAAAGGCTGGCCAAGTGTGGTAATTCAAGTCTGTAATCCTAGCTACTTGGGAGGCAGAGATCAGGAGGACTGAGGTTGGAGGCCAGTCCAGGCAAAAAGCTTTCAAGACCCCATCTCAACCAATACCTGGGTATGGTGGCATGCCCCAGTCATTCCAGCTATCTGGGAAACACAAACAGGTGGACTGCAGTCCAGACTGGTCCAAGCATAAAGCAAGATCCTATCTCAAAAAATAAAAAATGATAATAAAAAATAAATGCAAAAAGGGCTGGTAGAATGGCTCAAGTGGTAGAGTACCTGCCTAGCAAGCACAAGGCCCTGAATTCAAACCCCAGTTCCAAAAAAAATAAAAAATAAAAATAATCACAAAAGGGCCCACCCACCAACAGGCTATAATAATCTTAAATGTGTCTGCAACAAACAATGGAACTTCAAAATATGTGAGGCAAAAACTGATAGAACTGGAAGGAAAAATAGACACATTCACAATAATAGCTGAAGGTTTCACTATCCATTTCTCAACAAATGATAGACCAATTAGAAAAAAAATCAGCAAGGAAACATGAAAATTCAACAACACTATCATCCAACAGAATCTTTCATTCCCCAACAAAAGCAAAATAAACATTGTTTTCAATATCCATAAACATCTCCAACACCACATCCTGGGGCATAAAATAACCTCATCAAAT